TGAATTGAACTTTTAAAAACCAATTGTGTATACATCTACATTCCAGAATTATTTCATCCTATATAAAAGGCTACTGTATTTAGAAATAGGACCTTTATTTAAAGAGGTAATTAAGGTTAAAAAAGCTCAAAAGTATGAGTCCCTAATCTAATATGAGTGCTGTCCTTATAAGAGGAAGAGATAGCAGGGATGTGTATGCACAGAGAAAAGGCCATGTGAGGATATAGCAAGAAGGCAGCCATCTGCAAGCCAAGGAAATCTACTGATACCCTGATTGTCCAAGAACTACAAGCCTCCAGAACTGTAAGAAAGTAAACTTCTGCTGTTATGCCACCCAGTCTATGGTATTTTGCTTTTGCAGCCCAAGCTAAGGCAGATGCTTTACTTTCTCTGCCCCGACTTTTCCTTTCACTGTAGTCAAGCACCTATGCATTTGCCCCATAGCCAGCCCCTAAGTAAGTCCTGTGAAACTTATCAGTTATTACAGTAAATGTGAAATGATCACAGTCTCTATTATAAAAGACAACACTTGGTTTGGCATAAAATGTAATACCAGCTAAATGCTGCTGCTTAAAAGAAAAACACCCAAATCACATTATTTTTATTTAAAAATAAACAATGAACACAGAAATGCCATACCAAATATATATATATATATATATATACACAAGAAAGTGGGTGCTAAGACTAGCCAGAGAGAAAGGGAAAGTTAATAGGCTATCAAATGGAACAAAGAGAATTTTAATGTTAAAACTTCAGTAACAAATTGTCATGAATCTTTCTACCTAATGGTTCACTCAAGTGAAATGTAAGGCAAAAAACTTAGAAATAAATGGCGAATTTGATACTAATTACAATGACATTGGGAGTTTTATGACTCTTCCTAGCAGATAAAAAAGACAGAAACAACTTGAATAATAATAATTCCTATTATATATGATATATTCCCTTGATTCTAGAATAATTGTAAGGCTCTCTTTTAAATTTAATAAAACAGAGAAATAGAAAATTTCTTACACATAAAAAGAAAACATATACTTCTCAATGCTTGAAACATTTACAAAATTGTCAAAAGTATTTTAAAAATTAACACACACAAAATTCCTTAAACATATCTATACCTCTATCATTTAAAAATAAAGCCAAGTAGAAAGAAAAATTCCCAGAAACCCTTGCCCTACTCTCTCCAATTCTGTCCCCACCAAGGTAACCACTAGTCGTGGTAAATAACAATAGACTTCTATGTTCACATAAACATATTGGTATACAGTCTTCCACACACTTTTCTTTTTTAACAAATCTGAACAGTATACTATATACTTTTCTGCAAGTTTTCATTTAATAATATATATCTATTGAGTATCTGAATTATTCTGTTAAAGTAGTTAAAAGAAAACTGACTCATCATTACAACACAAAAACAGAAAATCATAATAAAAGTAAATGAAAATGACAGAATTGAAAAAATACAATATCTGAAATGAAAAATGCTATGGCCAGCAGCTTAACAACATATTGGAGATGACAGACAAGACAGTAAACTTGAAGACAGATCAACTGAAATTACCCAATCTGATGAACAGAGAAAAAAGGATTTAAAAATATGACTTCATAACCTGTAGGGCAATACCAAAAGGACTAAA